ACAATTGTCGTAAAAGTTAAATAGCAATAGACTAAGAATTGATAGATTAGTCGCGGACAACCTTCGTAAATAGTGATAGACTAAGGATTGAGAGACTAGTCGCGGGCAACTTTCGTGAAAGTTAAATAACAATAGGCTAAGGGCTGGCAGGTTAGTTGTGGTGATGCAATCAATGGTGTTGGCAGGAATTTAACATATATATAACAATATTGAAAAGAAAAATCATAATAAATAATAGCGAGAAATTATTAAACTAAAGGGTTAATTATATTTTTCATCTTTATATTTTGATTCAAATTTTACTTGATTCTTATATTTTTAAATTGAACAATTCAGTTCTTACACTTTAAGTCCAAATTTTAATTTGTTCATTTCATTCAAATCTTTGTTAATTTTTTTTACATGTTACCTTAGAAAATTGACAAGTATCTAAAAAATGTTAATTGTAAACTTAAATTTAGACATATTGACAAAATTGAAACTGAATTTAGAGTGTAGGTGCTATATCCTTCAATTTGAAACTATAAAAACTAAAGTAAAATTTGAATTAAACTATAAGGATGAAAAGTGAAATTAACCCTAAACTAAAACATTATTATTATTGTTATTATTATTATTATTATTATTATTATTATTGGGTAAGATCTAATATTACAATTAGCATTAAAATTATATCAACTCATAACTTATAAATTCACAATCAACAACTCTATTATGTTAATCCGACAATCGGAAGTAATAACCAACTAAATCTACAATTAATAAGTCCAACCCTATAAACTTAACAATGAGTCCTAAAATGGGGAGAAACAACTAGCTAAACAAACAAAAACAAATAATAAATGATTGTCTTAGCAAAAATTAACCCCTTGATCTCCCTATTTGAAGTATACAAAGAGTGGAGCATGCACTTCTAGAATAGGTCTATTAACACATAATAGAGTGTACGAGCATGAAAAATATTTGGCACGCGTACTCCTTATGATCAAACTTAAATCTCTTCAAATGGTATCACATAACCTGCAAAACAATTTCGGTGAGCTACCCAGCAGGTGTGTGCCAAAAAATCCTTCCGATGTCTAAGTCAGTTCACAAGATCAATATGAAAAAGTTCTCAAGTATTCAACGAGTAAAGTTGTGTTTTAGATTGTCTCTGAGTTTTTATATATTCCGCATGGTAGACTCCTAGTAGGACAATAATTCCATTTCCTAGAATCCCGCTAGGATTATCTTCTGCTAGGATTTTCTTCCTAAAGGATAAAGCTTACCCTTTAACACCCTTATCACCAAAGCCAAGTGAAACAACTTAAGTCTCAGGTCGGCAACCGATTTAAACAAATCTGTAGCCCAGTTGCATGTCAATTGCGTAACTACATTTGTTGTCTTACTAACTTCAAATAAGACCATCGAGCTAAAACCTAGCATCAAGAACATACTAAGTTTGCACAGTCCAACCATCCATTGAATTCTTCATTCCGGTTGAAGACCTAGCCCAGTCAAAGTCATAACGGCCTTGTCAACCCAGTCAACAAACAAGCTCCAATTATTCGGTTGACATTCTTACATCGTTTGCCTAGTCAGCCTTCACCCGTCATTTGCCCAGTCCAATGCCGATTGTGCAGCCAAACTTATCAAGTCGACTAGACTTTTTCCCGGCCCAAAACTAGGCCCATGCCAATTTAGTTCGGCCCACTATTACGATACAAATTACCCTCTCACAGAGCAACTTAAAATAGAATATTAGCATGATTATAATAACTTAGCTAACAATATTTTAATCTAACTGAAACAAAACAACGCTCATAATCCCAATTTGCCAAGAATTTCACTTTCTTTTGTTTGTGCACAAATTTTAAAATTTAAATTCATTAAATTTCACTAGTCATAAAATTATTAGCCTACTAGTGGACTTTGTCAATATATTCAAGGCCAAATCTTGTCATGTTCACAATCATGTTTGGTCTCTCATAGTAAATAATGTTAAAACAAAGCTTTGAAAGTTCCTTTTATTTATTTATTTTCGGTAATTATGTGCTTAGAGTATAAATTTAACAACAGATACTTACTCCCCTCAACAGCCTTAACAATGGAGAAAGAGTCCTCTTCCAAATGAATATCAGTAAACCCAATGTCCTTTACAAAATGCATTGCTTTCGCAGCCGCAAGAGCTTCCACCCAGTCCATGCTAGGCAAAATATCAAGGACAATGGAAAAAGAATCCCCTTCCAAATGGTATAAATGTTTGAATTTTTAAATAAAATGATATTATTTCAAAATATAAAATTAACATAGTTTTAATATAAATATATCAAAACTATTTTTATTACGTTATTTATGTCTTGGCCGTTTGTGAGAATGCTTTTACTTCTTATTCATGGCTTATTCTACAAAATAGTTGTGTTTGGGGGGTCTAAGGCGAACACAGAATATGAGACCCTACTCTCATACAAATTTTAATATATATGTTGATAAAATGGTAACAAAATTCAATTTTATTTTATTTTTTATTTGTACCTTCTATAAATTTGTTGCATATGGTACACATAATTATTGAGATAAATTTTGAACATTTTAGATTGTTAACAATATTAATTTATTCACACTTTTTCCTGACATAGTAAATTAAATTGTAAAATTTGATTAACTTCAACTTAAAAAAAAAAAAACCACCATTTCTTCAAAAGCAATTGTAACTCGTATAGTTAAACAATATTCTATAAATAATTAATATATTTGGCAAACAACCATTCATTATTTTTAAATAATTCACCAATTCAATTGAGTGTTTAAACCTTCAATTTTAAACTAGTGATACCATAATGTAGTGTTTCACTAAAATTGAATTGAATAAAATGGTCATTCCTTTATTTATAAAATTACTATTATTTTATAATAATGAATGATGATTTCGTTTGTAATATTTTTTAGTAAATCAAACGTGAAAATGGACCATGTTCAAAACAAAACAAAAAAAAATGTGAAAGTGGACACTATGATGAAATGATTACTCTACTCAACTTTATTTTAAGGGTAAATTACAAATACATTCCTTAAGGTTTATTTAAATTATGAATTATTCTCTGTAGTTTTAGAAATTATAATATGCTTTCTAAGGTTTCTAATTTCATAACAAATAAGTCATTTTATTAATAAATTATCAAGTTAATTAACAGTTTTTAATGATGTTAAAATTTTATTTCAATTGATAATTCAGATAATTTTACTATTATATAAAAGAACAGATAGAAATTTATTTTTTCAGTTAATTCTGTTAGATAAAAATTTTTAATAGGGAGGTATTTGTAATTTTTCAAACCACATAGGGCAATTTGTATTTTAAGTAAACTTTAAGAGATATATTTGTAATTTATCCTTATTTTAATAAACTAAACATAACTTATAAACTTAAATAATTAACCAAACATAACTTTAATATTGAAATTATTTCGGAACCCTCTTTTTTAGACATAATTCACTTTTAATCCTGGGTCAACGCTAGCCGTCAACCAAATCTATTACAAAAATTGACAGAAAATAATCCTGCCCAATTTTTACATTGATTCGTCTCAATTTGTATCAATTTTCTTAGCAGATCAAGTAAGCGGGTTCACATTGATACTTGAGCAAAGGTAACACTTTGACTGACCCAATTAAAAAGTGAGGATGCAAAAATGAGATTGCCTGTAAAGTGTACTGTAGGTATTTTACACCTTTTTAAATAAATAAATAAATATGCTTAAAAAATAAATAAATACACCAAAATAGAGTCGTCTCACAAATTGATTGATAAATTCTTATTATATTAAAAATTTGCACAATTTGCGCAATGGACAAATGGTGAGAGACAAAGAACAGAGAGGTGTTAGTCTTTGTGATGGCAATGGTTGTGACGTAAACATTCCTCTGGTTTTTTTCTAAAGAGAGAGACAGAAAGAGACAAGAGAGATTACAAATAAGAAAATCAATCACGACATCTTTCTTGCTAAATTGCTTGTATGATTTTGAAACGTAGATTTTAAGTGACCGATGAGCAAGGACATAATAGTTCTAATAGTGCGATGGTTGTGATCTAGACATTCCTCTGGTTTTTTTCCACTGAGAGAGAGAAAGAGACGAGAGAGACTACAAATAAGAAAATCAATCACGGCATCTTCCTTGTTAAATTGCTTATATGATTTTGAAACGCAAATTTTAAGTGACCGAAGAGAAAGGGCATAATAGTTATAATAGTGTGATGGTTGTGATCTAGACATTCCTCTGGTTTTTTTCACAGAGAGAGAGAGAGAGAGAGACGAGAGAGAGACTATAAATAAGAAAATCAATCACGGCATCTTCCTTGTTAAATTGCTTATATGATTTTGAAACGTAGATTTTAAGTGACCGATGAGCTAGGGCGTAATAATTATAATAGTGCGATGGTTGTCGTCTGGACATTCCTGTGGTTTTTTTCCACACACAGAGAGAGAGAGAGAGAGAGAGAAAGAGACGAGAGAGAGACTATAAATAAGAAAATCAATCACGACATCTTCCTTGTTAAATTGCTTATATGATTTTGAAACGCAAATTTTAAGTGACCGATGAGCAAGGGCATAATAATTATAATAGTGCGATGGTTGTGATCTAGACATTCCTCTGGTTTTTTCCACAAAGAGAGGGAGAGAGAAAGAGACGAGGGAGAGACTATAATTAAGAAAATCAATCACGACATCTTTCTTGTTAAATTGCTTATATGATTTTGAAACACATATTTTAAGTGACCGATGAGCAAGGGCATAATAGTTATAATGGTGCTTTTAGTGGAATATTGTAACAACTCCGACCCATGATTAACGTTAATCCATGCTTAATTATGCCTAACAAGTAATTAAAGTGAAATTTTGTGTCATATGTTGCCTTATGTGTGTTTATATCTGTTTAACGTAGAAAGATCTATTTATGTTTTTGTTTCGGCTTGCGAATTGAAAGCCTTATAGGCATCCGATTTAGAAATTGACTTGATTTATGTGTTAATTAGAATTTTTAGAATTTTATGATAGGTTTAATTGAAATTCGATTCAGAACGATTAAATTAGAATAATTAATGCTCATTTGGTTAGAATAAGCCAAGATTAGTTAAGCTTCATTAAACAAGCCTAAATAAGGCTTATATGAGTCAAGCCACTCGACTACACACTCTCATTCTATCATCCTTGAGGCAACAAAACATGAGAGAGAGCAAGAGAAGGAAAGAGTTGAGATCAAAGCTAGGAGAGGGAAAGATTTACTAGAAAAGAGAAGGATTTGGAGAGAACTTGGGAAATTAAGCTCACACACTTGAGAATTCAAAGCTTGAGGTAGAAATTCACTCCTTTAGTTGTATATTTATAGTCTTTAATGCATGAATTCAAGAGAGTTAGTCAATTAAGCGAATAATTAAGCTTAGGAAGAAGAATTAAGAAGATAATCATACTTGCATGCAAATTATTTTGCATTTAGACCTTGATTTTGAGGAAGTCTCACATGCATGCATTGGTCATGGCTTGATTTTGGAAGTTCATCACATTTCACATGTTTCTACCTCATTTGATTATGTTTTGGAAGGTTAAAACTCATACCATTACATGCAAGTTATATTTTCAACATTTCAAGTTTGCTTTTGTATAATTGACAAGCTTTTGAGCTTTAGTTTTGTGAAATGATTTTGAATTCATCATGGTTTTACCATTTATAAGTGTTTCCTATAGTTTCCTCAAGTTATTGGCCCTAGAGACCATGTTTTACAACTTTGAATCTAAGTTTTGAGCTTGAGAGCAAATATGAAAATTCCAGAATTCTGCTCCTACACTCGAGCGAAGGAATCCACGCTCAAGCGACCACTCTGAGTGCGTGCACTTCCACTCGATCGACCTGAAGTCTGCTCGAGCGTGAAATGCATACTCCTAGAAGTTCTTATATTTTGCAGGCTGCTCGAGCGACAAAAGTTCTGCTCGAGCGAGGGCATGTCTCTCACGCTCGAGTGATCGTCGAGTGAGCATCGAGCAAAAAAATCAAGCAACCAGCACTTTTGCAAAAGTTTACAGACCGCTCGAGCGACCACTCACATTTTGCATGTCCGTTCGAGCATAGGAAGTTACGCTTGAGCGAGGACCTTGTTTTCAGCAAGTTTTGTTAAGTGTTTTCAAGTGCATTTTTCCATCATCATTCCATCCTAGGCATACCTAGGCCAAGTTTAAGACACCATAATGAGGATAGAGGAGTAGGAATACACCAAGACAAAAAAGAACTAAGTTAATGATTTCGGGTGTGTAATTTAGTACGTATTTATTCTGTATCTCTGTAGTTCACGCGCCACAAGATTTCTGAATTGCCTACTCTGTCCGTTTATTTGGAGCCATCTATTATCTGTGAGTGATAACTTAGTAAAGCTATGCTCAAGTTAAATTATTTTTTGTATATGGAATAAGATCTATTCTATGAATGCTATGTTTTTGCACTATGAATGATTGTCCACCTCTGACAAATAATTGTGACATTAATGCTGTGATTCAAGTATGCAATATGTATCCAGACCGGAGGTTCCTTTTTGGAACTGACAAGTTATCTATACTCAGCTGGAGGTTCCTATATGGAACTGACAAGTTATCCGTTCCCACTCCGAAGGTTCCTTTAAGGAGCTGACAAGTTATCCGTACCTGACTGGAGGTTCCTCTATGGAACTAACAAGTATGATCTATGATGCTCTGTATATGATCTGTTAGTGCTAACGGATAAACCATGTATGATCAAGCATGAATTCAGATTTCTGTCAATGACTCAAACAAGAATACGTTTATGAATCTATTCTATGTACGGACTTAGTTATCAGACATCATTCATTTAACCCTTTACTCTGCTATTATTCACTGGGCTCCCGCTCACTATTTATATTATGTATGTAGATGATCAGGTACATGACCAGGCTCAGAGTTGTGGACCTGGCGTCTCAGTTTTTGTCAGCCAACCTTTATGCCTTTCGAGCAGGTTCCGGATTAAGTCAAGTCTAGTGTTCGTGTTGTTATGAATGTATAAGACTTTGTTTCTTTTGCTCCACGAACAAGTTTTTCCGTTTATATGTACATGAAGTAACATGTAAATACTGTATCTTTTGACATCACTTGTATGTTAAAAAAAAAAAATTAGATTATCTGTCCCATGTATGTCTTCACAGCTCGATGGACTATGTATATTTCATGTATTTGCTTCCGCAACCCCTAATTATATATTATTATGTTAAGAGGCCTTTGGTAATCCAAGGATTACTGGCCGGTTTCGACGCTAAGCCTATAGGGGCGAGTTTGAGTCGTGACAAATATACTCTGAGTTTTATTTTAATAATTTGAACTGTTCACTTTTTTGAATCCTTCGAGTAGTATGCCCCGGTAAAAAGTTAATTTAATTGAACATTGGTAACCTTTTCATCATAATACATTTACATCTAAAAAAAATTGAGCGGTACGTGTAATTTTGAGTGTTAACTTGAATATAAATATGATATGATCAAAAGACTACCGATGTCGGATCAACTTTATTTTTTTACATGAACATATTACTCAACAAACTCTTAAAAGTAAAAAACTCAGATTATTGAGATATGATCCAGACTGGATCCTACTGACAGAACAATAGTGGTTGATGTACAACAACCATCTTATTCCCAAAATGTAATGCCCCCAAAATAAATACACAAACCCATCTCATAAGCGAAAATATAATTGAATTAACATACTTTCATTCATCAGAGTCTAATATACAGGAGAGACAGATACAAGAAGGAATGAAAGTTACACAGATATTCATTTGCCCTAATGGCTTACATCTTTCCAAGTCATTGCTAAGTTACAACAAAAATGAGTCTAGCTCAACACAATTTAAAGCCCTTGGCTATACAAAATAGATATAACAAAAATAGAAGCTCTTGCTCCAGATTTTTCCAAGCTACTGCCTTGGTAAAGGCATATCACCAACACCTAAAAATGGTTTTTCCCAAATAGGGTGAGCCAATGCCTAGTAGAAATAATCTAACACAATATATGGATCTTAACAAAGATATAAATATGATGCACATACGTGGTACCGATGACAAAATCTTTTACAGCTCATTTGCAGACCGTGCCATGCTAAGTTTTATATCACAATTAATGCTATCTTAGTCTCATTTTTATCTCAATTCGTTTTATCTCATTTCATGAGTTATTTCTATTTATCACAAACAACCATACTAAGGGTACAACTCAAAGGTTCTCAAAATGATAGAATCATCACATAAACACTTCCACTTGCCATTTTATGGAATTTTCATCCGCGGGAATCGACACCCATGTATGCACAACATTTCGGGACTTTTATCCTGGATACACAGGCTAACTTAATTTAATGGAGTCCATTTCCCTTCTTCTCCCAAACAATGGAGTACATCCCCTATCTCTTTCCAAACATCATACATATACAATGTATTAAAACACACAGTCATATTCAATGATAACCGAAAAGAGATTAGTTTCAATTCACCTAATCCTCATGTAATTTCTACAACAATCATAGCTATCCTTCATCGATAGCCTAATACAGATATTCAATCTCAAGACAGATAATTTACCCAAAATTTCATAGGTGAGTGATAATACATATTCTTCTCCACTATTTATGTCAACACCCATTCAATTTCATAATTTTAATACCAATTCCATTTATTTATACAAAATAAATATTTGAAACATTTTAGGGCAAACTTCCTCCTTCCCAAATCTCAACCCAAATGCCAAAATCAACTATTTTGTCACAACATAACCTCATATTTAACCCCATAATCTTTTATAACTTATTCACTTAGAAAGCCCTCTTTTGATTTAATACCCCAAACCCTAGGTTTGTTCATAGTACACCCAAATTCCACCATTGTTACACAACAACTCGTCGCTAAGTTAAAAATCATATGAAAGTGTAAAGAATCCCTACCTCAAAGTTAGGAGACAATCAAAGCAATGTGGAACCTTCAACAACGCCGAAACCAAGTTTTAATCGGATCAAAATGGAGCTCTTGGAATGCTTTAACTTTTTCTCAAAGACACTAGGGTAAAAAACCCAAAGGATCTAAGTCAAAATGTAGAGAGAATGTGAGTTCTAGAGACAGAAGCTCAAGATCTAGGGTTTTAAAATGTTTTAGAGAGAGAAAGAGATGAGAAAGAGATGAAAAAGTGATGTAAAAAGTGGATGTTACGAACTGATATATGCATAGTCCGCTCAAGTGTCAAACACAATAAGTTGTTCTGCTCGAGCGCAAGAAATGACGCTTCAGCGCAGAATACATACTCCTAGAAGTTTTGCAGAAAACAGACCATCGCTCGAGCGCTGAGCTCCCAACCGCTCAAGCGTAGGAAACGACGCTCGAGCGTAAAACACACTCTCCCAGTAGTTTTGCAGGCCTGCAAAAGTACTGAGAGTTTGCAAAGCCCGCTCGAGCACAAGAAGTGACGCTCGAGCGGAGGACCAAAAATTTGGGCAACATAAGTTTGAAAACCAAACGACCAACATGTTCCAAACATAACCACGACAGCCCAATAGCCAAAATATGAGGAAAAAAACAAGGAAAGCAAGGTGTAATCAACAATACAGAATCATGAAACCGTATTCAGAATATAACAAGGGTCGGGTCAAGACCGAAACCGCTATAAATTGAGGCTTTCTGACTTTCAAATATCTGCACGTAATTTTATATACAAAAAATACATTAAATAGCAAGATTATAGGTAATCAACTCCCAATTTAACCAAACCCTCAATTTACAATTCAAATGTCTCATATATGAATTTGAGGTTATATTATGATAACATCACTCAATAACACACCTTTAATTACGAAGGATTTAAAATATTAACCACACTAATTTAATCCATCAAATTAGTAAGTTCATTATATTCACCATCTTCCAAACTAATAACACCAAACATAACTTTACATGTCTCATCTTTCAAACACAACCAAATTGCATGCCAAGCTACTCAAATAGCCAATCTTTCCCAACTCTCTACTAATAATAATTTTCACAATTTTTTTAAAATTAATTAATCATATGATATTTACATCAAAAATCATGAAATTGTCCAAGAGTAAACTTTTTGAGGTTAGGAGTTCGAAAGTCCACATTTCATCTTTTCATTTTCACAAAAATAAACAAAACCTAATCATCAATATAAATCACCATTCATTAAAATATCATGAATATAACATTTTTAAAGTTTTTAATCCCAAAACAACTCTATAATTCCAACGTAACAATTTACCTAATATTCATCAACATTAATTTATTTTTCTAAAAAATAAATTCCAAAATCAAGGATGAAAAATATTTCAACTTTATATTTCTCAAAATAAATTTTCTAATCATAACATGATGTAGATACAACCCATACAACTATTAAAATTTAATTTCAAATTTTTAGCAAAAATTACCAACACAAGGTGATTTTCCCAAATCAATCTCAAAGTATCGATATTCTTAACATTTCAACATAATTTTTCTTCAAAAAGTTACCAAACAAAACTCCGAGAATTATATATATGCAATACCTCCTATAATGATATATTTTCTCAAAGTAACCCTAACGTAGTTTTAAAGTAATAATATGAAGAAAGTTCCTACCTCATATAATGAAGAGGAGCAAATCCGAAAAGGAAACCTCACCCGATCAAGAATCCGAGATTACCATTGCAAAGAGTACGACGAGCTCTCTAACTTTCATTTACAAAATTTTTGCAAAATCTCACTCTAAGAACTCCTATTTGAAGCTCAAAGATTGAGCAACAATGGAGGAAGAGAGAGAGAGAGAGAGAGACAGTCAGAGAGAGAGAGAGAGAGAGAGAGAAAGAGAAAGAGAGAGAGAGACACGCTGAGAGGGAGGGGGGAAAAAGCCCTCTGCAGATGCAAGCAACAAAATAACAGGAAAAGAAAGGAAAAGCTGGGCAAGGACAAAAGGGAGGTAACCCCACGTGGGTTCCCTTCCCAAGGGTTGGTTTTTCCAAAAAAAAATATATAATTTTTGTAATAATATAAATTATAAAATGACATATTTTTTCTCACTATAAAATCTAATATTTTTGTACATCATACACACAAATTTTATTCACTATAAAAATATATAATTTTTCACTATATGGAACACACCATAAAATTAACTATCAAATATTTATTATAATCCTATATAATAAATAATAGCAACTCCTAAGCTGGTTACTACCAATCACATAATTACAAAGGACCAAAATCTCACTCTAAGAACTCCTATTTGAAGCTCAAAGATTGAGCAACAATGGAGGAAGAAAAGAGAGAAAGAGAGAGAGAGAGAGAGAGACAGTCAGAGAGAGAGAGAGAGAGAAAGAGAAAGAGAGAGAGAGACACGCTGAGAGGGAGGGGGGAAGAAGCCCTCTGCAGATGCAAGCAACAAAATAACAGGAAAAGAAAGGAAAAGCTGGGCAAGGACAAAAGGGAGGTAACCCCACGTGGGTTCCCTTCCCAAGGGTTGGTTTTTCCAAAAAAAAATATATAATTTTTGTAATAATATAAATTATAAAATGACATATTTTTTCTCACTATAAAATCTAATATTTTTGTACATCATACACACAAATTTTATTCACTATAAAAATATATAATTTTTCACTATATGGAACACACCATAAAATTAACTATCAAATATTTATTATAATCCTATATAATAAATAATAACAACTCCTAAGCTGGTTACTACCAATCACATAATTACAAAGGACCAAACAGTTAAACATGAGTCATAAACAAGTTCAAATTAAGTTGAATCTAAGCCATGGGTCTCACCCATAAGCCAAACATGGTCCAATTATATACCCAAATAGACCCAACAATTTTATCTCAAGTCATGGTCCAAACACTCGAAACTCAATTTCAAATTCCGCTATAAATTAAACTCAACACCAATCAATCCGTGAATTTCATAAAATAAATACTCATCAATAAATTCTGAAATTTTTATCCACGTGCTAAACTCATATGGGAACATAAAAAAAATTATAAAAAAAAAGATTTCAAAATTTTCTGAGAGCGGGAGCTGTTTTTTTTTTAAAAAAAATAAAATCGAACTATTTTTACACAGAATTTTACATAGTAGTCAAATTCGAA